GTGTGGCATGATGGCTTTCAAACTATACCTGGACATCTAGGAAGACCTGGATTCAGATTCTGCCTGACACTGTAACTTAGACTCTTGGGACTGAGCTTCCTCCCCTGCAAAGTGGAGATAATAATGCCTGTCATACCTAATAGGGTTGTTGTGAGACTCAAATAAGACAATTCATATAAAATGCTTTGCAAACTGTAAAACACTCTCTAAATGTCAGTTATTATTGACTAGAAAGCAAACCTGCTGTCTAATTCCTTCCTGTTTATTTCTTGGTAGAGATGGAAGGTAACATGGCACTCTGATGTTGATCCAGTAACTCTTCTCATAACTGCTACCAGCTTATGACAACTGAAAAATCCAAGGACTTAACTGAGCTGGCTCAGATTTGGATAAGGGTAGAGGGAAGAAGGCGGCTTTTCAGAAGAGGAGAACATTGGTGAAGGCACTCAGTAGGAATAAGCATTAGAATAATTTATATTTTTAGAGCTAGAAGCAATCTTAAAGAGTTCATTTAATCCTTTCATTTTACTGATGATGAAACAGAGGTGCAGATAGGGCGCTGGGCCTGGAATCAGGAAGACCTAAGTTCAAATCTGGCCTCAGACACTTACGAGAAGTGGGCAAGTTACTTAACTTCTATCTGCCTCAGTTTCCTCAACCCTAAAAAGGAGATAATATTAGCATCTACCTCACAGGGTTGTTGTGAAGAACAAATGAGCTATCTGTAAAGCACATAGCGCCTGATAAATAGTAGGCATTAATAAATGCTTATTCCTTTCCCTTACCCCTTAAATGACTTTCCCAAAGTTTCAGGTTTTAAGTAGCAGAGCTGGGATTCAAACACAGGTCCTCTGACCTTAAACCCAGAGTACTTTTCTCTACATTTCAAATATCTGTCCTGCTATATGTATAGCATTTTACAGTTTACAAAGCACTTTCCTCAAAACAAGCTTTTGAGGTAAAGATATTATTATCTTCATTTTACAAATGAGGAAACTCAGGCTCATAAGGGTAAAATACTCCATGCCCAAGGACATAGAACTAGTAAATTATATGGGAGAGATTCATCCCTGAGTCTGTTCTAGTTCAAAACCCAGTGTTCATTGCCCGACACCACACTGCCCTCCATGGTGTATAACAAGGAGATCACCTGATTAGAAGAGAGAGGAGTCAGAGTGTGGAAGGTCAGCTTGTGTGATAGGAAGTGAGAATTTGAAAGGTTTCTGTGTAGGAGACCTATTGGTACAGGATGGATTGACAAAGGTAAGACTGGAGGCCACTTCTAGGTTTATGGCCCAAAGAGATCAAAGAAAAAGGAAAAGGACCCATCTGTACAAAAATAGTTATAGCAGCTATTTTTGTAGTAACAAAGAATTGGAAACTGAGGGGATGCCCATCAATTGGGAAATAGCTAAACAAGTTATGGTATATGAATGTGACAGAATACTATTGAGCTCTAAGAAATGATGAAGGGAATGGTTTCAGAAAAATCTGGGAAAACTTATATGAACTGATGCAAAGTAAAATGAGAAAAACTAGAACAATTTACACAATAACAGCAATAGTGTAAAGATAATCAACTATGAAAGATTTAGTAACTTTGATCAACACAATGATCTATGACAATTCCAAAGACTCGTGATGGAAAATGTTACCCATCTTCAGATAGAAAATAATGGACTCAGTGCAGATTGAAGTTTATTTTTTTCTCTTTCTTCCCCCCCCAGAGTATGACTAATTCAGAAATTTGTTTTGTATGATTTCTTATTTGTAATGGATTTTGTATTTCTTGCCTTCTCAATGGGTGGGGAAAGGGTTGGGGCAGAGAAAGGACATAGAATTAAAAATAAAACTGAATTAAAAAAAAAAAAAAGACTGGAGGCAGAGAGAACTTACCTTGGGCATGAAAATCCCTAGGTCATTCCCAGTCTAGAGCTTCTCCACCCTCTGCCCCAGGTCTGAGGTTTATCTGAGGAATTCAGATCTGCTCCAGGGCAAAACTAGTATGGCTCGAAGGAAGCTCCAGCTAGACTGTAGGTTAGTTTGAGGATTGGATCCTTCTGGACTAGGGCTGATCTGGGGCTCTTCCCAAGTTAGAGCTGATATCCTTTCCAGACTGGGCCAGGACTTGGTATACCTGGGTTCTAGTCCAGCTCTGTCAGAGCCTTGCTAAGACCTTTTAGCAAGTTACTTCCCCTCTCTGGGTCTCACTGTCCTGATCTGTAAAATGAGCATTTGCACTAAATGATCTCTAAGGATCTTTCTGATTCTGTTGGTCACCATTGCTCATTGAACCAGGGCTTTGTGGTTTGAAGAGTGAGATGAAGCCCCCTAGAAAACTCGCCTTCATGGAATAAGTCAGAGATAAAAATCAGGAGGGGAAGAAGTAGGTACAGAGTATAGACCAAAGAACTGGGAGAATAGCCTAGTCCCCTGGTAGTTAGTGTGTGTGTGTGTGCGTGTGTGTGTAATTTGTTATTTGTTGTATGTTTGGGGAGATCTGTTTTGGAGATGGCCAGGTAGGCTCTGGGGAGAAGGGTAGAGTAGGGTATGCTTCTACCTCCCTTTTTTGAAGATGCAGTCTTATAGCAAGAAGGAACAGTAGATTTGGAGTCAATGGGTTCAAATCCACTTACAAGGAAAGGCAAGGTGACTAAGGGATTACTATGTGCCAGGCTTCTGTGCTAAACACTGGGATATAGATACAAGCAAAAAGAAAGACAGTCCTATCCTCAAGGAGCTTCCATTTAAATGACAGAAGCCCACATACAACAACCTGTATGAGTTCAAACAAATCACTTCACCTCTCAAGATTTCAGTTCCCTCATTCAGGAAATGAAGGGTTTATGTTAGATGGTCTCAAGTTCTTTCTTGTTTGCTAGAATAGCATTATCCAATGATGCTATGAGCTAAGCAGGAATCACCCTATTTTTCCTTCTGAACATCTCAATGGGAAGCCACAATGTCTCCCCTTTATTTAGAAGAAGAGACAATTAAGATGCTAGTTCCCAACTTAGGCTTTGTTACCTATACCAAAATCCTCTCTCTCTCTCTCTCTATCTCTCTATGAGCTCTCCGACCAGCTCATTCACTCTAATGTTCAAATGGTGAAAACTCAAGAAACATCTCTATTGAAAAGGAACCAAGTAAAGGATAAAGGAAGGAGAGGGAGTAGGGAAGGAAAACTCAAGATGGGTGTAAGAATTAACCACCCAAGACCACAGCATTATTATACCACAGCATAGCCTCATAGGATGATATTTTTGGAACTGAAATGGATGTTAGAGGACAACTAGTCCAACCTTTCATTTTACAGATAATGAAACTGAGGTCCAGAGACAAGAAATGACTTGACCAAGGTTACAAAGATATTAAGCACCAGAACTGAGATTTGCACCCAGGTCCTAACTCCAAATCCAACATGCTTTCCACACAATCCAACATGCTTTCCATACTATGCTACTTCCCAATAAGCCAACAGTAAGCAAAATTGGAAACATAGAACAGTCTGGCAATAAATTAGCCTTGTAAAAAGAGACTCATCCATCCCCCTGCCCTGGGAAAGTGGTGAGTCATGCACTGGCCAACTGGCCAGTCATAAAAAATGAGGCTGTCTTCAGGCTAGTAAGGCCTGGTAAAAAGATGAGTGGGCTGATAAAATTTTGCCCTTATTTTCAAGGCTGCACTAGACATTACTTGGATCAGAACTGAAAAGCACCCTCTTACACAACTCAAAAGATTCCAACATTCATTTTCTCCAGGGTGTGATTTACAGCTCAATTCCCATACGTTACCAGTTCTCACTTCCTGCTTCTGGTCCCAACCCTCAAGTCCCTCCCAGTCATTACCTTGTTTTCCCAAGAGCCCATAGGGGAACGAACTCAACTTCACATTTTCAAACCATCAAGGAATTTGCCTCAGAGCCCACCCTGCTCTCTCCAAAACAAATCTCCCTAAATATATAACAAATAACCAATGTAAAACACACACACACACACACCCACTCACACACAAATAGCCCAAGTCACACAATACAAACATGGTTGATCATTAGACCTACATACTACTAAAGTTGGTCTTGTCCATTCCTCTTAACTCCATCTCTCTTCTCTCTTTTTCTCTTCTCTTTATCTCTCTCTTCTCTCAGTTTCTGTGTCTCTCTCACATACACAGATTTACATCTAGAGATACTCACACTCAGACACAGACATATATGGATAGTCAGATATGTACAAATATGCAAACACATTTAAAGACACAGGGGCATCAGCCCATAAAGAAAACAATTCACCCATTCAGAAAAACCCTCACATTTTGAAATAAACACACTGAGATGCAGAAGTTCAAACACAAATCTGTCCTCAGAGACCCTGTCTGCATAGACTCATGTTAACATAACTCTCTCACGCAGAACACGCTGATCTAAAGAAGGCATACACACAGACTCATGCAGACCTACCAATTCATTTGAAGATACTCACAAAGTGAGATCTAGGACCACACATTTTTAAACACAGACATCTACGCACTAGCAGCACCACTGCCTTTTCCCAGGGAATATCTCTTCCATAAAAAAAAAAAAAGATATATTTCAGGGAGGACTCTGGGTTGCTCTTCTGATGAAATGTCGATTTTAGGTTTCTATAGCTCTCTTACCCTACAACTCTTGTAAGCAGAGCCACCATCAAGCTTCTCATCACCTCCCAGAAAAAAAAAAAAACTACTACTGACTTCTACACCACTTATAGCTTCATAAAAAAAAAGTAACAATTACACACGGCAAACTCCAAATACCTCCCCCTGAGTACTCTTCCCTCTTCTAGGGTTAAATTAAGAAAGGCCTGGCAGTAAAGAGTAACAGATGGGGAATCCTTTCACTCACCTTTATTCACAGCTTTTATTCCTCCCCGTTCCCCAGACCATTTTTATGTCCCTACTACTTCCATCTACCTCCCTTCACATTATGGTGGTTGCCGCTATAAAAATAACTCACATATTACCTGTAAAATCTTGAACTAGTTGCTTCTCCCTGTGGTTTCTTCTTGCTTTGTAAAATGAAGGGGTTGGATTAGATAGATGGCCTCCAAGTCTCTTCCAGCTCTAAGGTGTGATTCTATACATGTAGTTCTTTCTAGTTACAAAGCACTTCGAACACATGATCTCTATCAGGATGGTAATATATAAGTATGGTTAGCCCTATTTTACAGACGAGAATACCAAGGCTTAGAACTTGCCCAACAATACATAGAATTACTATTATCACTCCTAGCAATTATCCTCTGCCCTTCCTTCCCTCCATATGCTCTTGCTTTCCTGCTATTTTAAAAAGTCCCTTCCTCCTCCAGCTTTTCTCCCATCCCCAGTCTTTAGGCATCCTAGTCACTAATCTAGAAGACAGGATCTCTAAAATCTTTTCAGTTCCAAATCTATGATTCTATCTGTGATCCTATGAATTTCCTTAAACACACCAATCTTCCCGCGCATTTCTCTATACCTTTCCCTCCTACCCAGGATAGAATCCACAGCTGAACAATGTTCCTTACCTGTTCCAGGATGGGGGATGAGAGAGGGATGGTGTGCTAAGTGAGTTCTGAGGGGCGCTCAGAGATGCACCAATTCTGCTCCAGCTCTCCAATAATGCTGTAGAGAATGGACAAGGGAAATCACGTTGGGTCGCCAGAATTTCAGGGTTCCGACTCTTAATACAAACTCCCACCCCCACCACCACCACCAAAAAAAACCCCTCCCTACAGAAAGGAGACTTAGGCTTGGGAAAAGTTGGCTGGGGGACAGCAGAGCCCTTCTAAGAGTATAATGATAGGGAGGCAGGATCCCCACAGTATAGCACACAACTTGCCACACATATGGCTCCCAGTTTGAGAGTAGGGGGGAAGACAGGAGGCCGGAAGGGAGAGAGGAAGGAGTTTTTCCAGGATCAAATTGACAGGAAAGCACAAGATCCCTATTCTTGGAGGAGTGAGTCAACTGGAAGAGAGGAAAAAAGGCACTCTGGAGGAGAAATGAAAGGAGCAAGAAAAGAGGGTTCAAGGAATAGAAATGGGAAGAAAAAAAGGAGAAAGAGAGAAGTATGAAGAAGGGAAAGGGAAAGGAAAGGGTGAAGGAGGGAAAGGAAGAAAGGAGGGGAAGGAAGAAAAGAGAAGAGAGAAAAGACGGAGTCAAGAAGGGAAAGAGAAGAAAAAGGGCTAAGATGGAGAGGGAAGGGCAGGATAAAGGAGAGGGAAGGGGAAAGGAGGAAAAAGTAAAGGATGAGGAAAAGAGCTAGAAGGAGCTGAGGAGGGTGAGAAACAGGAGAAGAGGGGGAAAGAGAAGGGAAGGGGAGGGAGGGATAGGGAGGGGGAAGAGAGAGAGGGGAAGTAGAGAGAGGAGGGAGGGAGCCAGAGAGTAAAGTAGGGGAAGGCGGGAGGCAAGAAGCAGAGACTTTGCTGTGCAGACACCTCCACTCACCTGAACAAGGAAAGGGGCAGGAAGACCCTGGAAGGAGCCTGCTAGCCGGCAGGGATGGGGGGGGGGGTGGCAGGGGGCCGGGCTGGGGTGCTAGAGCCTTGGGGAGGCTGCTGTCCCTCGCCACCCCCCTGGCCTCAAGTTTGAAAGAAGGAAGCCTGGTATGTGAGGAATGAGGGCTGGTATGAGATGCACGCAGCTGAGGGAGGGAGTGCCCGACCCTCGCTACAGGCTTGGGGAGGAGACTGAAAGGGAGGCAAGGGAGGGGGGCTCCCAGGGAAGGGAGAGAGGTTGGGCCAGCCTGGCCCTGGGCGGTCAGAGGAGGGGCTAGTACCGAGGAGGAGTTGGAGGAGTTGGAGGAAGGGGGTGGGGTGGGGAGGGCAGTGATCTAGGAAAGACTGGAAGTTGGGAGGCACTGTCCCAGTTTGCGCTGGACCCCTCCACTTCGGAAGCTGACTCCTGCCCCTTTCTTTCTAAGTTCCACGGCCCCCCAACTCCTCCTCTAACCCCTCCCTCCTTTCCTCTTCGCTCTCCCTCCTTCCTCTGGCCCCTAAGCCTTTCTCCCTCAGCCCCGCCCCTACCTCTCCAGGCCCCTCAAGCCCTAGCTCCATGCCCCCAGACAGCTGAGAAAATCCCACACTCCTGGCCAGGAAACGGGAGAAGATCAAGGGGCAGCGAGCCCAAGACCGTAAACACATAAGCTTGGGTAGGGGATAAGAGGACTAGGGTGGGAGGGAGATCCTATATGTCCAATGAGGAAGGGCTGAGGGGAAAGAATCAGAAACTGGAGACAAGTCATCCCCCCGCCCCCACCTCCTGAGCCCTGTAACCAGAGATCCTAGGCATGGCCCTTGGGAGAGCTGCCTCTACTTCACCCCAAGGACCCCAGGCAGTCCCTTTGCACCAGTGAGCAGAGGACCAGAGGCAGGCAGGCAGGTAGCAAGGGCCAAGGCGGGGAGTGGATGCGACAGCGGAACAGGATGGGGAGACAAACTGGCCACCTCCATTGTGCTCAGGCTCACCTCCCATGTGCATCTCTCATTTGCACATGTCCATGAAAGGCCCAGGAAGGGACAGTAGTGCAGCCAGGAAAGGCCGCTTCTATCCCTAGCAGGCTCCCACCAAAGGGCCCATGCTCCAGTAGAGCTAAGAAGCAGGAACTTCTGGGTGGTCTTCCCAGATCTGCCACCGATGCCCCAAACTCTTTCCTTCTCCCTCCTTACCATAGAGCAGGTTTTCTTCTCCATCCCTTGGGGACTGTTAAAGCTGTCATTATGAAGAGCAAACACATATGGTGTGAGGATTAAGTACACAGGGTGGGAGAGCTGAGTTGAGGCATGGCACTGGACAAGTCTTTGCTTCAATCAACAATCCAGTCAACAAATATTTATTACCAGACATTGCTAGGTTCTGTGCAAATACAGAAAGAAGTAGCATAAAAGGGGGTCTCTGATCTGTTCCAGTTTAATTTGGGAATCAAGAAACAAGTTACAACTGGGGAGTAAAAATAAGAACACATTTACATACATTTTAAATATTTACAAAGTACTTTTGTCACTCAACAACCCTATGAGGTAATGCTAATATTATTCTCTCCAAGCTCAGAAGGGACTACCCTATATTCAAGTTTTTGAAAAAAGGAAATAAAAATTGTTAATGGTCGTTTGAAACAATGTTCAATCTTAACAATCAAAGAGATATAAAGGAAAACTGTTAGTACCTCCAACTTTAATGGTCAAATTAGCAAAACTAATTAAAGGCAAAGAAAAAAATGACAGAGATGTGGAGAAAAAGGTATACTCATTCACAACTACTAGAATCATTTTAGAAAATAAGTTGGTAACTACAGAATATATAAAATATTTGGAGGTCTACCTGCCAAGTTACACAAACTATATGAATACAACTACAAAATATTCTTTACATAAAGACAAATCTAAATAATTGGAGGAAGAGTAATTCATGAGTAGTCTGAACAAATATAATAAAAACAACAATACCAAATTAACTTACTTCTTCAGTGCCATGCCAAACTGCCAAAGAATTAATTTATAGAGAAAAAAAAATGACCAAATTAATGTGGGAGAAACACAAGGTCAAGAATCTCAAGGGAAATAGCTTTTTTTAAATGGGAAGTAAAGGTTTCTAGCAGTTCCAGATCTCAAACTACTACACTCATAATCATCAAAACAATTTGGAACTGGTTAAGAAATCAGAGGTTGATCAGAGGAAGAGATTAGGTACATAACATACAGAAACAAAACAGCTTTACTAGCTCAAAGATCCCAACTATAGGAATTATTGTTTTATTCCAGTCATGTCCTGTCCCCATTTGGGGTTTGTTGGCAAAGATACTGGAATGGTTTACTATTTCCCTTCTCCAGTTCATTTTATAGATGAGTAACTGAGGCAAATAAGCTTAAGTGACTTGCCCTGGGTCAGGCAGGATTTGAATTCAGATCCTCCTGACTCCAGGGCCAAAGGTCTATCCATTGTATCCCCTAGCTGCTTCCTAACTATCCCAGTAAGAACTCACTATTCAACAAAAATTTGGGAAAACTAGAAAGTAGTCTGGCAGAACCTAAGTAAGTATAAACCAACATTCAAGATAAGCTCCAAATGTGTGCATGAATTAAATATCAAGGATGATTTAAACATAAAGTAAATTATGGAGCAATGAAGAAAGTATCTTTTGAAACTATGGATTGGAGAAGAGTCTATGGTCAAACAAAGGACAGAGAATATCACAGAAGGTAAAATGGATGATTTTGATTACATAAAATTAAAAATAGTCTGCACAAACAAAACCAATTCAAGTAAAATTTGATAGGAAGATGGTAAATGGGGGGAAAAGTCTTTGTAGAGATTTTCTCTGATGAAAGTCTCATTTCTAAGATGTGTAGAGAATTGATTTAAACTTCTAAGAATAAGAATCACTCCTCAACTGATGGTCAAAGGATATGAACTGACAGTTTTTAGAGGAAGAAAACCAAGCTATCAATAGCCATGTGAAAAATGCCCCAAATCACTAGTGATTTAAAAGATTCAAATTAAAGCATATTAACCACAGCCATATAAGAAGGGGAACTGAATGCAAAAGGACAGAAAGATGGAGAATCCTAATGGTGACTTAGAGGTAGTGACTGAAAAATTATAATATTTTGTGCATTATAATTGATTTATAAAAATGTAAATAGTTACAAAGTATATCTAATTTGTCATGTTGATGTTTAATATTTTAAAGTGGTGGCTAAAGTCACATGCCCAAGAAGTAGAAAACCAAAGCCTCACTTAAAAACAGGTTCTCAGACTCCAAATCTTTTGTTTTTAAATTGTATTTATTTATTTTTAGCTTTCAACATTCACTTTTATAAATTTTTCTCCCTCCCCAAGACTGACTGCAATCTGATATAGGCTATACATTCAAACTCCAAATTGAATGCTCTTTCTACTGTTGCTATATGTATTTTTTAAATACACAGGAACTTCTGCACCAAAGTGAGTGGTAGCCCCTTCAAAGAAATTACTTTCCCCTTCAAAGCCATTTTATATGCCTCATCATTCACTACATTGACCAAAAATAGTATCACTTAGATTGGTCAAACACTTTTATTTACCAGAGTTGGTTTTTGATTATTCAGAAGAAAGAAAGAAAGAAAGAAAGAAAGAAAGAAAGAAAGAAAGAAAGAAAAAGAAAGGAAGGAAGGAGAGAGAAAAAAAGAAAGAAAGGAAGAGAAAGGAAGGAAGGAAGGAAGGAATGAAGAAAGAAATCTGCTTTTGACTATAAAAAAAAAAAAATGAAATCCACCCTCAAAACCAAAGATTGAGAATATGCCCAGCACTCTCCATTCTTTAAACAAAAAAAAAAAACTTCCCTTAATCATATTAGCCTATTAAGCTGTCCTCCTATTGATTTCCTATCCTCCTCCTTGATTTCAGAGTCAAATTCCTAGAAAAAACTGAGTGTGCTCATTGCCTCCCCTTTGTTGACTCAGACTTTTCATCCCTCTGTAATCTGGCTTTGACCTCAGAACTCAAACTAAACTGTTCTTCCCAAGATTATCAGTGATCTCGTAACTGATTAATTCAATGGCTTTTTCTCAGTCCTCATCTTTCTTGAAATCTCTGTAGAACCTGACATTGTTGAGTCGTACTGGTTTCCTCCCTCTCTCTCACCTCGCAAATCTAAACTATTGCCAACGCCTGTGGATTTCACCTTTGCAACACCTCTTGAAAATATCACCTGCTCTCCTCTGACATTGCCCCGCCCTAGCACAGGCCCCCATTCCTTCACGCCTGTGTTATTGCAATAATTTGTTGGTGGGTCTGCCTGAATCAAGTCCCTCCTCCTTCTATCCATTTTCCATTCAGCCATGACTCTTCACAATCCCATTTGGGGTTTCTTGGCAAGGATACTAGAGTTCTCCAGCTCATTTCACAGATGAGAAAACTGAGGTAAACAGGGTTAAGTGACTTCCCCAGAGTCACACAGCTAGTAAGTGAGGCAGGATTTGAACTTGGCTCTTCCTGACTCCATGCCCAGAGCTCTATCCCATGCACCATCTAGCTGCCCACTTGGCATATAGTAGGTACTTAATAAATGCTTATTGATTGGCATGACCATTCCCTCTTCCTTTCCCCTCCTTGGATTTTCCTTATAGC